CGGTGATTTAATGGGAGCAAATGCTGGCAGCTGGTTGGTTTAGTTCACAAACGCTAGGTTTTTTGGGCTTTAGCCGCTTTAGCCTCTGGTCATGAAACGCTTTGATATGGATGCTCCGTGAAAGTAGATTCCCTATTTTTTGAAAGGGGAGGTGTCCATAGCCATGTTTTTTTGTCGATGTTCCAACCGCACATCCTTTCACTCAGAAATAACTCACCGTACATCACCATACCACCTGGTAAACAAACAGTTTGTTATGACTTGTCAGTGGAACAAAAAATGCTCCAGTAACTGTTATTGAAAATGGCCCAGTCGAAAGTTCGTTGATATTTACCCATTAATAGCATGGTGGATCTTTCCAGTTCGTGTTATGTAAACGTTTACCAGGCCGGGTAACTCACCATGGGAACTGGGGAAAATCCATCGCGCTCCTGGGGATGATCATGACTGAACCTGGAGACCTGAGCTGAACGATAAAATTTGGACCACAAAATACCAAAAAAAAACGCGCTGTTACATAAAATGTTTCCTTTAAAAATAAACATCATTAATGTAACCATTTTATGTAAAGGATGTATATAATCTAGGTATATAATGTAAGTATACTTCTTTTACCCCCAACAGTTTTTTAAGGGCCCATTTATATATGTATTGCAACAGCGTCGCGGCGTCGCGATTGTATGGAAGCTCTGCAAGGATCCGCCCAGTTCCAACGGAAAGATAAACGCCAAGTACATTTTTTGTGCCCCCCCCCAGTGATGTTAATTTGTTGGTTTATAAACCCCATGAATACTATAGTTATAGGATGTTATAGGTATCATAACCCATAGTTATAGGAGTTATGTTCACCAACTTAGCTATCGTTTGGGGGCCCACATTTAGATTTAGAGATATTTACAGTATGTGGATTTTAAGCATATATGTTCAACATCTAACAGGCACTGTATTCATCTATGCATACCGATTTGGGTTTGTTACTGGTAAGTACCAACTCCAGAATAAATCACCATTATCCTTATCCTCTGGTAATTTAACAGTTCGCTATTGAAAATGGCCCATAGAAATTAATAGCATGGTGGATCTTTCCATAGTTATGTAAACGTTTACCACAGGGTAACTCCCATTAAGCCACCATTAAAGTCTTCATATCCCCAACTTTTTACGATTTTTGGACACACCCACCTATAACCTCTCCGCAGATTTTGCGCTGGGATGGCGGACCATGGAGCGGCGCAAGCTTCGAACCCTCGGAACGCCTCTGTCCTGCAGTCGAACCATGGCATCCATGGCGAATCATTGATCGAAAAGTCCTGGCTGGTTGATATACCAGTTTCACCAGGTTTATCTACTTACCATACAATTTATATATACAATCAATATGAAGAAACCTGAAATAGTTGATGGACATTTAAAAAAAGATATTGGGATAGGATGCGTTACTTACAGGCAGAAAAAAACTGGATTGTTTTAAGGGAAAATCAAAAGACACTCCGGGTGTTTACGACAAAGTTTTGATGAAGCTTTTGCCATGAAGTTTTCCCTGAAACCAATTCTGGGGAAGAAGGACTGGCATATTCGTCCTGTATTGCAAGCAAATACAATACCCTCTGGTAAACTAACAGTTTGCTATTGAAAATGACCATTTATAGTGGATTTACCCATTAAACATGGTGATTTTCCATTGTAAACGTCTACCAGAGGGTATTACTTTTTTACATACTGTAATGTACTATGTATATAGATACCAGTACATATATGCACTTGCTTGAAGGCCTGTTGTTTTCTGCCCTTGAGGGGAAAACATAGGTTTCTTCGCGTTTCTTCTTGCAATGAACAGTACATACATGTCTATATATATATATAGAGAGAGAGAGAAATTGATAATCATCGCAGGCTGTTGAACTTGTGGTCAGGTCATTATGAAATTCAGCTTCTATATGGTATACCATGGTATACCTGTATTTACAATGTATGTGGATATACACATATCTGTATTCATGTACATGCCGGAGTATCCAGCCCAGCATGTTTGCTGACCAAAGGGTAGCGTTTGTGAGTAGTTTACAAAAACAATAGCAAGGTATGATTAAACGTAAGGGGATATGTATATTACAGTATCTGTATAAATAGAGATATATCAAGATATAAATTAACGGAAATAAACATCATATATCCTGCCTGGAATGGGAGATTGACCAACCATACTTTCATCCATGACTCATTGATTATCCCACCTAGTCAGATGCTGATTGCGACCCTGCTGGAAAGCAAGTGCCAAGGACTTTCTTGCACTAATGGGCAAATATTAGTCAGTTGGGATGATTATTCCCAACATGGAAAAATAAAAGTCATGTTCCAAACCACCAACCAGACATTTTTTGCATCAAACCACCACTTTTTTCCTTCCCCAAGCCTTGTTTCTTTGGCCCCGGCCGCGTCCTTGCGGCGTGTCCCGAGTGCTCACAACTCGTCGTCGGGCAGGTCACAACTGGACCCAACTCGAGCCGAGCCGTATCATGTACATGTACTATACACAAAGTGTATCTAAAATAAATCATATATATGTGTAATAGCTGTAATGTATATATATATATAATATATATATGATATTAAATATAATATGATATTAAATATATATATATATATCATATATGTGTGTATGTGTATGTATACACCCTATAAGTCTACTTTCTGTGATTCAACTGGAGATATAAAGCCATATGTATAGCTGGCTGAACTAAGATGGTAGAACTGGAGCATTTCTTCTTTTTGGGGATATCACATCCACATAAAGCCTTACGTGCTATATAAACAACTAAGTAAGTCATGTGGCGAAAAAAGGCAACGTTCGCGCGCTGTTAAACGAAATCCGCTGGTTTATCCTCCCATCAACCATCAAAGTGGGGTACAATATCTGGTTAATATATGGTTAATATAATCTATAAATGGTGAATGGATGGTGAATGGCTGGTTAATGGTGATTTATGGTGGTTAATGGATGGTTGATGATCCACCCCTCTGAAAAATAATGGAGTGAAAGTCAGTTAGGATGATGACATTCCCAATATGATGGAAAAAATCATCCATTCATATTCCAAACCAACAATCAGATATTGCTTTTTCAGACAAACTCAAGAGTGTCTGTCTTTGAGAAAGAAAACCTAGCACACCGGCACACCGGCTGGAATATTGATCCTCCATTGTTTCTTGGCTATCTCTGAACGCAAAACCGCATCATGCTCAGAAGTATAATCATATTTCACAACTTTGAACATATACAATAATGCATACCAGAACATGTAACAATAAATGTTGATCATGTTCAGCCAAGCCTTTCGAATTTGAGCTTTAAGATCTAGTGGTCTGAGCAACAGAAACGCAAAATCAATACAAATCACATGTTGGCTCTGTTGCATCAGCTATGTTGGAGGTCAAATTCTCCAATGATGGTCTATTGATGATTGATTAAGATGATTGATTAAGATGCTTGATTAACTTTGGAGAAACAACCCAAAATACCCAATCCGCACACGGTGTAAACCTCCAATCTTGATGGAATTTTGAAGCTTCATTTACGGTGGAATGTGTCTGAATGGCAATTTGATTCTGGACAATATCCTAATCTTTGGATGGCTTACCAAATGTAACCTTCCATATCTTGACGGTTAAAGCCCCATTTTGATATTATCATTTTGAAACACGGTAACTCGAATCATCATGTTCATCATCTGTAAATGGAACATGGTTTCCATAGCTATGTAATAAATAGCCAGAAGATAAGTTATCTGGCAAGTTTTGGAACCCAATTCGGTCCAATAGTTTATCATCCCAGCATCAGATTTTCCAATCAAATTACCATCAAATGGTTTTCGCAAAAGCCAATGTTTGAGACAAACACAGGAGTACCTGTCCGTGTGCAAAAAAAAACAGCAGTCCATTACTTTGGTTCTCCACGGTTTATCGGATATCTCATGCTTGGGTTTGCCGGAGATCACCACGCCCCCAGAAAAAAACGCATCCCTGTAGATTCCCCAAATGCTGTGTTTCCCAGTAGAAAATCATTGTGAAAAACAAAGCCAAGCAAACCAAGGATAACCATTGTATCCATCTGATAATTATATAATGTAGATAATTATCACATATTGTCCCACCATATGATCTATTATCAAGTGGCTTGATAGTGATAGATGATGTAGATGATATAGCCAATGACATAGATCATGACATATTATCCCACTACAGTATGATCAGTATGATCTATTTATTATCCATGGCTAAAATGTCGAATCCACCGACACTGCCGCACTGCCCCTCCATATTTTTCTGTCCCTTGGCGGGCGCTGTCGGCAATCTGTACCTGCAGGGCCTGCAGTCGGCTTCAGCTGGATCCAAGTGGATATCTTGTTACACTGCTGTATGAAATGATACATCACTATGGAAAGATCCGCCATTTATAATGGGAAAATCCACGAACTTTCTATGACCATGTTCCATAGTTAGGTTAACGTTTACCAGAGGGTAAATACCCAAAAGGTGGGTTTGTCTGAGCATTTCATAATGGTGAATACATGTTACAATGGTGAATCATTGATAATGGATTTGTGATTTTGTTTCATGTTGTAGACCGTTTTGTTCTAGTGATTGTTATCAAGTTATATTCTAGAACAATATATTGATTTCTACTGTTTGCCAAGAGAATATCGACTTGAATTCCATGTTTGACACTGGCACCCTGATTTTCAAAAGGTTTCAATGGCCATTGCTCAATCAACCAAAGACTACCGTAGATACCCTTGGGATCCCTTGGGAAATCTTGAAAAAGGATCTAATCCCTTCCCCGTAATATTTGACACCCCTAGAAACGATGGTCATAGTAGGGGATTTCCACCCATGTGGGGCCATTTTTTTGGTGTTTTAATGTGCAGTGGGTCAATCATGAACAGATTGGGTTGGTTCCCATTTTCATCCCACTATATTCATGATTCATCGGCAGAGTTTGG